GGGGGGGGGGGGGGGTGTGGGTCTGGGTATGAGTATGGGTGTGTGGGTATGAGTATGGGTGTGAGTGTGAGAGTGGGCGTCGGTGTGTGGGCATTGGTGTTCGTGCTTCTGTTTTTCTTCTCTTCACCCACACCTACACCAACACTCACGCTCCACACCCCACGTCCACACCCACAACCACAACCTCACCCGTACCCACACACCCACACCCTTGCTGCTTTTCATGAACCTTTGTCTCATGTTATTCAATTTCTATTATTTATTTTGTATGAATATTTATAATTATCTTTTAAAATTAAAATACATGAATTAATTCAGATTATTTTCATGATTATTGGTTTAATTATATAATGAAGATACTGTTTTGTTTAGCTGTATTTTATCAAAAAGATTTGAGATGAATAATTCGCTCGGTCATAGTACTAATGTAGGTTATATTCTTTCTTTTAAAATTCCTATTATCTGAAAATCTGAATTTTGTTATTTGATATCTATGTTACTAAAAGTCTTTCGCATAAATAATGTCAAAGTAAAATAAATATTTTTTCTTTAGTTGAATTGAAATTTTCCTGATGTGTATAAATATCTATTTGGACAAATTTAATTTCAAGCAAACATGTGAAATCAGAAGTCGTGATAATATTTGTTTTTTTATAAGTTACATTTATCGGGACTTATGCATCAAATCTAGTTTTATATCTTTTCGAAAATAATTCTTTTAATTATCTCAAGTAGAAAATCATCATCCTCAAAATGAAGACTATTACAATCTCGTTTAATAACATTTATTCATATTGTTATTGATAAGATTTTTCAAAATAATAGAATATATTTTACTAATAATTGTTTATTTTTTTTTTATTATCCACTGTTTACATAATTTCAATAGTAAAACGAACAATTAATTCAGCTAAATATGATACAGGTAGATGTAGAGTAATGTAAGAAATTTTGAAATTTATTTAAAAAAAAAGAAGGCTACTTTCATCTAAATTTATTCGTTGAAATGTTCGAAGAATTTTAATGATAATAACAATAATTTGTTTTATGTTTATAAATTATTCAAATAAGTATATTTATATTAAACAAATGATTTCCAACTGATTTATGATCTCTAAGACAAAATGATAATAAAGATAAGCACTATGCTTAATTCTCTAACTTCAACCATATTAATAATATATGTTATTTATAGTAAAAAAACGTAAATAAAATGATAATTATTATTTAGAATAATCATTGCAAAAAATAAATATGCAAAGAGAGAAAGACGAAGTAGATTTTCTTCATCACGATAATAATAATTGACGAAAACTATTATCAGCTGCTCGAAGTTATTTATCTAAAATAAAAGCATACATCTTACTAAAGTATATCAAGTCGAGAGTGAATCTTTTGCCGTTAGTTCATTATTAAACTAATAATATAAAATAAAGTTTTGTCTTTAAATAAATGGATGATATTATACTATCATGTAGATAAACATGAGAGCTTTAAGCGCCTTTTGACATTGAGCCAAAGAAGAGAAGCTGATTTCAATTACTAGAAATTAGTTTTATATTTTGAATTATTTTATTTTTCCTAAATTTTCAAATCGAAACTTTTAAAATCAATTATTTCAGTGTTTGTTATAAAGAAGACGAGTTGAACGAAAAAACTTGTTATCGAACTACAGTTTCTATGTAGTAATTAAGTAAATGTTAAAATATTTTCTATAAATATTCATAATTGTATGTGATTTTTCTTTTTCTTGACTATGATATTCATATATAAAAATACACTAATATTTTTTCCATAATATCGATTAATAAATAAAAATAATTCGATTTAAGAAAAATAAAGTGACGAGTATTATTTATAACTCCTCAAACTCTATAAGGCGAAATATAAAAGAAAAGTTTTTAAACGTATAAAAAAAATTATTTCTAACGTTTACGTTCTAAAATTTTTATTTCGTATTAGACCAACTAATGATAAAATATTATTCTATTGATAATGATGGAACATCTTCAGTTGAATTTTGTACAAGACGATGGAACAATTATATTTATATTAATTAAGCATAAATTAATAGTTTCAAGTTTCATATATAAGAATATTTTAAAGTATAGAAGTTTATTTTAATAAAGAAAACAAAACGTAACATATCGATTTGATAATGTTAGGAAAAGCTACAGTAAATAGATCGATATGTTGTTATTCAACTAATGATTAAAAAGCAGGTAGTATTAGTTCTGTCGAATAAATAACAAAAATAATTGACTCTAATTGAAAACGAACAAAAAGATAAAAAATTTGAGATAATCACTAAGAATAAAATATTCTTTAATAGAACAAATGTTAATATATCAAATTAACAATTGTTGTTTAAAGATATTACTATCTATCAG